TTTTCCCTATATCAGTTATGTATCATGAGCAATAATAAAGCTTCTGTTGTTTATGTCATCAATATTTGGGGAGCTCTTTGTTACTGCAGCATGACCTAACCTGGTCTAATTCAGATACTACCGCACAAGATAACACTTTTGCTTAACCAGGTTTGTAAATTTGAATTTCCAAGGCTTTCCCTTACTTTCTGATTTGCATCCTCTCACTGATGAGTATGAAGAATTCAGTCATTCTCTTGAAAGCCACCATAGGTCCAGCAGTGTTCCAGGGAAGTATCTTCTTTGTGCACCTCCAATCACATTTCCTTTCCTGAACCAAGCTACTACTGAGAAAGTGGATTATATAAGCCGTGTTTGCTTTTCTAAAACAACTTTGACTTCAAGAACAGATTTTATGACCAAGATACTTTTTAAATACTGCACCAGGGCTGTTAAAAAGAATGGAAACTACAGATCATAAATGATGTCAGCAGTGAAACACTCATTTCCGTGTGAGTTGTGAAATAAAATCAATATATGTTAACCTATTCTTTAGAACAAAGGAAGATAAAGGGAAATTTCAATATATTCTTGGTGCTATTTAACCCAAGTTCATGGCTCATGGCTGGAAGGAACCTTGGAAGTCACGGTACTCAACACCCTCAAACGGTCAGTATCAAGTTCACGGTGGCTCAAGTCCAAATATTCAGATAAAGAGGCAGAGACCACATATATTTTCAACAATACATTTTTAAGGGATAGTTAATGATTTTACAGCTTTCCAGAAACTAAAGAAGCTGAGATTTGTTGCTGTGAGAACTGAATTTCCTAATAAGCATGACAAGAAGCAAGAGGACTCCAGGACAGCTATGTGGTATTTTAGGTGAAAACAATTCTCTATCTAAAGAACCATCGAGTTCCTTGGGGGGAAAAGTAAAATTATCTTTGAAGATTTGGGAGAATTTTCCAAGTGGTATTGGCACAATTTTTCTTCTTTTCCTTTCTTTTATTTCCTCCTCTGGTCCCTAGGAACCACTCTGATTGCTGACTTCTGCCTGTCTCTCTCTCGAGAGAAGAAAGGAACCAACATTTGGTCTACGAGCTTTGTGTTCCTCTCAAAAATAATTGTCTGCTACTTCCCACGTGCGACTGGATCCGGGTCTAGTAATCCACCTGTAGTCTAGGGTGGAGATGCAGGGACCACGCTCTATTGGGGCTGACCAGGGGTTATCACTAGAATGGGTGGGTAGTCAGGGGATTTTGTAAGAGCACAGAAGGGTGAGGCTGGCCCCAAGGCAGAAATAGGCAGGTTGGTGAGGTCAGAGGGAGCAGCAATCGCCTTTCTGAGACCTCAGAGCCAAATGGATAGGATTCTGGTGGCAGATTTTCCAGGTCTGAATCCTATTTAGCTCTGCATTTTTAGATATATGACTTCGCATAGCGATGTTACCTCTTCATGCCCTGGTTTATGGTCTTAATAAATAAGGAGGATAATAATGGTTTCTACTTTAGGGAGATGTTAAATACTTGCAAAACACATAAAACAATAGCTGGACTGTCATTGGTGCTACTTCTTCAGGGGATTCTTAAAAAGAAAGTGGTGTTGACAAAAAGATGAGATCATATTTACAAATTGCATTTATGAAAAAGAAATCTGAGATTCACCTTCAGCATTAAAGTTCCAGTAGACAGCAAGTGTTGGAATGCTGATGAATATAGGTAACTTCATCTGAATAACAGCAAAAAACTATTACCCCTCTAATGGAAGATGTTCATTGGGATTGTCACAAATAATGCACAATTAGGAAATCATTTTACTTGATGGTTTACAGGATAATTAAAGGATGTGCATCTGGGATTATGAAAGCCTACCTTAAATTAAAGCAATTGATGCTCCTTGGACTTCAGTACCTGGACGCTGAGCAGTGGAGCATGGAAATGAACCGTTTCTGCCCCAGCCCAAACCTTAGCCGTCTCTGCAGTGCAAACATTCTTACCAGTTGGTGGTGATCATGTGTCATGATGCAAAAGACCACATTTCCTTTGAGAAGTTTAGACATTGGGCAGAAATGGAAGAATAAAGAGAATGGGGAATGGCTAAGGCAGAGAGGAGAAAAGAGTGGTGAGCAGAATGAACACAGTGCCTGTGCTCAATGATCTTGCAGTCTCCAAATAAACCACAGCTCTGCAGGAACATCAGAACTTCCAAACCTCCCCATACCAACTGCTTCCCTGATTCTTGCAGAGCTATGGGCATACTAAAAATCATATCATTAAAGATAGAGATGAAGACCATGGAGGCCAGTCTCTGTGGGTGGTAGCAATGGCTCATTGCTGAGCCATGGGAGCTGTCAGGTAACTGGTTCTGAATGCCAGGGCCTTTCTGTTTAGAGATTGCAAAAGGAGTTCCAATGAAGCAGGCAGAAGTGCTGGGGTGAGAATCCTGCTGCAAAACCATCCTTGACTTGTTCAGTCCACCGCTCCTACATTCTGAACTCCACATGTGACAGGGCGGTGTCCTCCCTGTGAGAATGGTCTCTGAAGTTAGAGAGTCCCAGGAAGCCCCACATAATAACATTAGGTGACCCCCTCGAGTCAGCCAGTTTTCATTCATAAGCCTCAGTGCCTCTTCTGTAAAGTGGAAATGCGAATCATTATGTCACTCTCCTAGGGTTCCTTAGACCTTCAGTGAGTTAATGCTTCCAATATCTAAAACTTAGAAAATGTTCTGCCCCCTGTGTAGTTGATATAGGCTACGATTCAACCCCAGAGGTCTGACCACACTCTTGTCCCTCGCTGTCCATTTGGGCCAAGGGTGTCAGTTTGCTAAGTCCAAGGGGTATCTTCCATAAAATGACAGTTTGTGCAGCATCCTATACAGCATGCGGCCCAGCAGATTCCCTGGGGGTAACAGCTGCTCCTGCTCCATTAGCCCTGCAGCACAGGGCAAGAGGGAGGGCTTCCTAGGCTCAAGCTGTGAACACAAACCTTGGGTTCTCCTTCAAGAATTTTGGCCAGAGCAAGTGGTAGATTGGAGTAAAGAGGAAATCTGAAACTGAGGCACTGCAGTGTTCAGAGGAAGGGGGAGGGCAGGAAGGAGACACAAAGTGACCCAGGACACTGGCTAGAAAGGAGAATGAGAAGCCCGACTATGGCTTGGCATTTTCTCGTCCACTGAGAGACTTTCCTCATCCTGCCTGCTTTAACATTTTCCCAACATGCTTTTGTTATTTAATCATGCCTCCCCTGAGAGTAATAAATCAACAGCTCTAAAAATTTTATAGGGTGTACATTTTATCTCTAAAGTTAGAGCTCAGTTAGGCTCTTGGACCATTAATCTTTGTTTGTCTAGGTTGTAAAACATTAATATTTTGAAATTTTAACAGAAAATGATTGTCATGAGTTGGTTGTTTGCTCTCATTCATTAAGCAACAACTCTGTCTCAGACAACGTGCCTGTCCCTTTCCCTGTCTGCCATCGTTTCATACTCATCTCAGCTGACCTGCAAGCTCTCATTTTACAGATGTGGAAGCTGGGGCTCAGGTGGTATAAGGAGTGGCCCAGAAAAACCCACCAGAGGCCGAGGTGCTTCTCAGTCCTGAAGATGTGCCCCACCCCATGCACTATGCCACATCTCCATGCTGCTGATCCAGGTCATGAGGGACTGGTGTGCTGCCTTCTTGGCCCTAGGACTTGGTAGGAAGGGGGCAAAGCCTGCCCTTTGGAATGGGAACAAAGACAAATGTGACAAAGATTAAATGGATCCCGGGGATGTGGAACTAGGCTGCCAGTTGGAAGATGTCTTCAGCCCTGAGTGTGAGCCAGGTATAAAGAGTTGAGTCACCTGTGCAGCTGAGGGACAGGGTGGCTCATGAGGCAATGCTGGCAGCAGGGTCCTGGAGGCAGAGGAACTGATGAAACAAAGACTCCCAGCCTCTGGTGGCCAAGATGGTCTGCCCATGGGTGGAGCTGCCGTCAGGCCTTCTTAGCCCAATGCCTTCACATGTGCACCAACCAACATGCCCTGCTTGTGAAGCAGCCTCTGGTTATAACCTGGCTTTCCAAGAAGAGTGGAGGAGCAGCTCACAATGTGCTGACTAGTGGACCTGGAGCATCCCCAGCTCTGGGACAGTAATTCCTCTTTGTAAATTAATAAATGGACTTCAGGCTGGAGGAGAATGTGCTGAGCACTTGGACTTGTGTATCTCAGTGCCTGTGACAGCCATCCCTCTTTATAAATTCATAGACCAGCTTCATAGAAGGAAGAAAGTGCTGATCACATGCACCTGGAGTTTTCTGTCCTGGTCATACATATGTCTCTTTGCTAAGTAATACATTGATGTGGAGATTTTCATAACCCTTTCATGAGTTATCAGTTCTAAGAGGTGGTTCTTCTTTTTGGGTTGACAGGTTGAGAGGTCCTTGATAGGATGCCGTCCCAATGTGAACCCGGGACTTTTCTCGGTATTAGCACTGGAAGTGCTAATTCTTGGAAAACCTCTCTATCTCTCGAAAGCCAGAGTAGCTTGCTGAGGAACAGCCCAGTCATAAAACAAATGCCAAGAATGGAAAAACACAAGCACACACACACACACACACACACACACACACACACACACACTTCCCAAGTTCTGTGACAGAAGCTTGACAAGGTACACCCAGTTCAATAAAGGTGATAGGGAGGGATCCTTGAGAAGGTGGTATTTAACCAGACATGAGGGGAAGACCATAACACCATTATCCCCAGACAAGATTCCTTCCTCCCAGATCAAAGCCTGGAGCTGCTGTCCAAGACAGACCACCCGACATCAGTGGGTGCTGAGCTCAGGCTCCTGCAAATTAGGATGGTGGATTCCCCTGCAGCCTTGCGACTGGTGAGGTAAACTCAGCCTCACCATGCATCTGGGCGAAAGCGAGCACTTACATATACATTGTATATGTAAAAGCCAAATTCAAACTTCATGTCTAGATTTAGAAGGTCCTTCAAACTTCCCATGTCTAATGACTTCTAGATATCCAACCACAATATTCTGTATTTTATTTTGTAGCTCTTCTACAGAGACTTTGACAGAAGTGGAAAGCCAGTGCACTTGGACCTGTGCTGATGTACTGGAGTTCTTCAGCTCAGTGCAGGAGAGTCGTCCAAATGACCTCACTGTTCTCCTATGGACTAAATAACAGAACGGCCATTACATGATGCATCCTGTCAAAGAAGGTATTACTGAAATCAATTTGTCTGCTTCTTTTCACCTTTTAAATGTGGCTACCTGAAAATTTGAACTTACATATGCAGGTCGTTTTATATTTCTGTTGGATAATTCTGCCATGAACTCTCCTCCTAAACAGCCTCAGTGATCCTCACGTATCTGTGCTGATGGACCCCAGGTGCCTTTCCAGCTGCAAAGTGAGGATCACATGTGCTTCTGACTTTTCTGGACATCTCCTCTTGGACATTTCACGAATTTCTCATGGTTTGTCAGATCAAATCTTGACTCTCTTGCCTTAATTTGCCTTTCCCCAACTTACCTCAATGTTCCCAGGACACCCCTGCCCCAGAGATGCTATACACCTGGCTTTGAAGTTGGAGGGAGGGGAGACAAACAGCTTCCAAGCCAGAAGGGACGGGGAATGGAGCCTCCCTAGAGCCTTCAGAAAGAATCACACCTGCTGACATATTGGCTTTAGGCTCGTGAAACACATTCTGAATCTCTGACCTTTAAAAATGTGACAATACATTTGCATAGTTTAAGCTGTAAAATTTGTGATAATTTTCCACAGAGTAACCGGGTCCTCCCTTGTCCAAGGCCTCAAAACAACCCTTGGCAAGTCTGGCCACGCCTCCCTCCAATTGCCCCCAATGCCATTGCCAAGTACCAGCAGAACCTGCTGTGACATCTCTCAGGTCTCTCCTTGGATGGGGTACAAATGGCTGCAAATGCTTTACTAATCTTCCCAACAAGAGAAGGAGTCTGTCTCCTCCTCTTGAACTTGGGATCATCCTGGGATGCTTGGAGAGCACCGTGGAAGCTGTGCTGTGTAACTGACAGACCTGGAACTGCAGGAGCTCTGCTTTCTCATCCTTGGGCCACTCCCTTTGGAAGCCAACCGCCATGCAAGACACTGACTCACTGTGAAGGAGCCTGAGACAGCACTTGGAAAGAGGCCACATGAAAAAGCCCCATGGTGCCAGATGCATGAGTGAAGCTTTCCTGGCTCATGCAGCCTGCCTAAGTCACTGCAAAAAATAGCCGAGTGAAGGACAGAGTTGACAACAGGCAGACCCTGTTGGAATTCTTGACCCGGAGAATCATGACCATGCAGAGTGGCCGTCATTGAAGTCTCTAGGTTTGGAATAGTGCAGTGTTAGGTAGGAGAAGCATTTCTTTCCCACTTATGTGACTGCCAATGCTCCTCTCACACAGCACCTGACACAGCCCTCTGACAGTTACTCTGATGGTCACTCCTTTGCTTCTGATTGCATGAGGAAGAAAACAGCCTGTGTCCTCTGTCATTCTGCCTGTAGATCCCTGGAACCCAGCAATCAGATGTCACGGGAACCACTGCACATTTATGGCTAACAGCTATTCATTTAGAAGTGCACTGTTGATTCAATCCCTCTCTGTGCAGTACTGATCACGTGCCAGGCGCTAAGTGTTAAGCACCATGAGAGCCAACGGGAATGGGAAACGCACAAAAAGCAAGAAAAGAAACAATGCTTTTAAAAATCATAAATGGTGACATGGCTGAGAATGGAAAAACACAAGCACACACACTCCCCAAGTGCTGTGGCAGAAGGTACATCCAGTTCAAGTAAGGTGGGAGGGGCGTCTAGAGAAGGTGGTATTTAACCAGAAAGACCCGCAACACCACTATCCCCAGACAATATTCCTTCCTCCCAGATCAAAGCCCGGAGCTGCCGTCCAAGACAGGCCACCTGACATCATCGGGTGCGGAGCCCAGGCCATCCCTAGGACATGTGTTTTGCTGAAAAACCTCCTTCTTCATTTTCTTATTCTCCACAAATTGTCATCCTGCCCAGACTCACTATCTCAGCTTCAGCCCCTGATCCCAGTCCCCACAGCCTCCCAAGAGACCCTTTCTCCTAGACAGTCCCCTCCTGGTCACATGTGACATTTCAGTGCCAGCAGGAACTGGACATCAGCATAAGCATTGGCAAACCCAGAGTCTGATTGCCTTGCAGTTCCCCTGGGTCATTGGGACAGACATCTTTGTAGTGCCACATTTTGGGTGAAACAACTTTTTTTGGTGTTTCTCTGCTCACTATGGGCTGGAGGTTTCATTTAGCTGTGGTATAAAGAGCAACATGAGCTCCATAGTGTTAAAGTCACGTGGTGTTGATTTTGCAGTGGGTGTCCTGGGTCCTCTTGCACTGTCCCTCAGTCCATGGAAGAGCATCTTCCTCTCTCACAGTGGAGGGGGTGTTGGAGGAAGTTTGGGCTGAGAAAGCACCTTTCACTCATTGCATGCATGTAGATCTGACAGTTCCTCATGCCACTGTATTTTGGGGTTGGCACAGGGAGAAGGGCAATGGGAAACCATTTTTGAAAAAAGATTTGCAAGAATCATGATGTGATTCTAGGAATTTGCATGACATGATTTAAGTAACACAAAAAAACTACCCAGCCCCCACGCAAAAACGCCCTCTGCTGCTCTGATGTGGAGCCTCCACTGTCTACCGTAAGAGTCTCCTCTTCGATGACTCAGAGGATGCTTATTAAATTATCTGTGTCTATAGGAAGGCAATGCACCATTAGAGACTGAAAATACGCTAGACCAGGGCCCCAGACATTTGAGTTCTCCCTCCAATTCTCTTCCACCACGCTGGGTGATGCTGGGGAAGACTATAGTGTCAGAATGAACCAGACAGGTTTCCTGTCTGTAAAACAGGGACCAATGTTCAAGTGTACCCACCCACTACTTCATTCATTCTGCCAAGTGACTGTCATTGGCACCCACGGTGTGCCAGGCACCCTGCAGGCTGTGTTCAGTAGCAGGCATCGCCATCGAGCATGAGCACTTTGGCCATGGGGCACACTACTCACGGGTGAGAGAAACTGGCTATTAGGCAAGTGGAGCAGCCCAGAAGGTGGTTCAAGGGGAGGAAGGGAAGGCCAAGAAGAGGCCATCAAGCTTGCATGGAGGATGACAGGGTCCCAGCTGGAACCTGGGGATTCCAAACAGACTGTGAAAACAGAAGTAGGTATGAGACAAGGGATATTTTTTTAAAAACCAACTTCATCATTTTACCTAAACCAGTGTGTCTGGGCCTGGAGACCTGGGGCACTAATGTCGTGAGGTGAGTAGAATGGCCTGGGCACGGGCAGTGGCTCGGACTCAACCTGAGCTCTGCTCTCCAGGGCAGTTACATGAAACTTCCAGAAAATAAAAATACTGACTTTATCTTGGGGCACATCACTTGCCTTCTCGACACCTAGGTTGCCCTCTGAGCCTGTCTGGGAATTAGATAGAGCTCTACCCATTAATAGAGCCACAGTGCCCAGCACTGCTCCTGGCTCTCAGTGAGGGCTTGGAGAGCAGCAGGAAGCCTCTCTCACTTGTCCCTCCCACTCCTCTTCCTGTGGAGTCCCTGACTCATTATTGAAGTCAGGTTTGAGCGCTATGTGAAAGGCTAGATTTTCAAGAATGTAGATCTAGATATTTGGGGACAGATTATCATATTTGATCGACTGTCCAGGTCAAATGGTTTTCTCTAGTTTAGTGCAACCAAGTTGTGGCAAAACAAGCCTCAGCTCATCATCTCTCTTATGTGACTAGGTGGGTAATAAGTTACAGGGAGGTTGACGAAGCAGAAAGTCAGCTTCTTTAAGAGCACTTGAGAAGTTCTGCAGCTATAGCCCATTTAGATTTTGAAGGGAAAAAGTCTTCGCCATTCACAAAGATGGTGAGGCAAGAAGATTCAAGCAGGTTAAGTGAGCAGGTCATTCTCGGAGGAAAGTCTTAGTCTCCAAGCTCTGTTTCAGATGCAAGGTGTGTCAAGGGTCCAGAAAGTCAGCCCTGTGGGCCTCATAGGAATTATCCTGTGACTAAGGTGTCACGGAGGAACCAGGTTTGAACCACGTTGGTTGGCCACACACCTCTGTGACTGCTTAGAGCCATGACATCTAACAAGAGTCAGATCTCCCTGCAGAGACCGCGTCTATGGAAGGTGTCCAGGTGCCTGGGTCGCATTCCCTTGCCACCTCTGACTTCAGCTGAATCTGTGCTGGACACTCTGGGTGAGCACACACTTGCCTGGCTCTACAGGGCTCCACCATGGGCTTGCCTGGCCACAAGTCATTCTGCCCTGGACCTTCTCTGACGCAGGGAGGGACCTGCCCTAAACGCAAGGCAATTAACACACCCAAGGCCACTCTCAACTCATGGGAAACAGGCAGCCTGTGAATGAGGCTCCAGGCCCTTCGCCTTCTCAGATGGATGATGCCGAGGCCCTCCACAGGGTTCCCTGAGGCCCTGAGAACTGAGGAAATAAATCCCACTATGTCCAGATGCGTCCTCCATACAGGTTACAATTTTTCCGACTTTTTTTTTTGGTTCATCCCTGTTTTGCTCTCCCCTTCGACTCACTTCTGCTGCCTAGGACCACCTCCCAGAGGATGAGCCTGTTCTCAAGTCCTTGTCTTGGGCTTTGCTTTCCAGTGACTCAAACTAAGGCCAATGTTATACAAAATGTGCATCCATCTTTGGAAGAAAAATGGATTAGCACAGAGAAAGGGAGCCCATCAGGCAGGGAAAAAAGCAAAGCAAAGCAGGAATACATCCTTGCAAGCCTCATGAGAGTCCTGGAGGAGAAAATCTCATCACCACACAGTGTCAGTGAGGTCAGTGGTGTCAGCAGTAATTGTTTTTCTCAGGATGCACATTTGTTTTAAGACCAGCCCAGATGCTGACTTCAAAAGCTTTCTAGTTTGTCATGTGCTACCCGAGACTATCTCTTTTTTTTTCTGCATGTCCAGCTCCATTTCGCCAGGAGATGAGCACGGCATAAGAGAATCATTACGGAAACACGTGGCTACTTCTCCCTGTGTGGTCAGGGAGTCGGGAGAGGCAGCCCCCAAGGCCAGGCTTCTTCCACTCTGGCTATCCCTCAGCACAGGGTGGGAACTCTGACAGGAGAACTGTCAGAACACG